TATATATATATATATATATATATATATATTTATTTACTAAATAAATAAAGTAATTAATAAAAACATTTATAAATAAGTTTATAAATAAACACAAGAATAAATAAATGAATAAATAAATAAAAATAAAAATAAATAAACAAATAAATAAACAAAATAAACATAAATAAATAAATAAATAAATAAATAAATAAATAAATAAATAAATAAATAAATAAATAAATAAAATAAAATAAAAAAGTAAACAGACTAAGAAATAAACAAACAGATACACACAAACAAATATACAAACAGCAACAAAACAACAAAACAGCAAAGCAAGCAGCAGCAACTGCAGCAGCAGCAGCAATCGCAGCAACTGCAGCAGCAGCAGAGCCCGCAAGCAAACTGCTGCAGCACCAGCAGCAACAGCAGCAAGGTTAGTAGCAAGAAAGACCTCAGCAGCAGCAGCAGCAGCAGCAGCAGCAACAGCAACAAAAGCATCACCAGCACCACCACCACCAACAGCAGCAGCACCAGCAACAGCACCACCACCAACAGCAGCAACAGCAGCAGCAGCAGCAGCAGCAGCAGCAGCAGCAGGGTATCTCCTCACAAGAAGTGAGTTTTCAATAGGTGTGCCGGTGAGCAGCAGCACTTGCTGCGCATGCACTGCAGCAGCAAGAGCCCTTCTCTTTATCCCTTTTTCTTTTTTCAGGCGCGAGGCCTCATCCACAACAAATAAACAAAAATTAAAAAAATATAAAAAACTATATTCGCGCGCAGCCACCTCGTAGCTCGTCAGCAGCACGTCAAACGGCACCTGCAGCAGCAGCAGCAGCAGCAGCAGCAGCAGCAGCAGCAACAGCAGCAGGACAGGAGCAGCAGCAGTAGTAGCAGCAGCAGCAGGAGGAATAGCAGCAGCAACACAGATAGCAGAAACAGAATATCCAACACTGAGGAGAGAAGAGTAGTAAACTGCAGCAGCAGCAGCAGCAGCAGCAGCAGCAGTAGCAGCAGTAGCTACAGGTAACAGCAGCAGCAGCAGCAAGAGCTAACAGCATCAGCAGCAGCAGCAGCAGCTAAATTTCACAGCAGCAGCAGCAGCAGCAGCAGCAGCAGCAGCAGCCAGGCTAAGTGCGACTGCAGCTTCTTCCGTGGGGCGGCAGCGAAGTGAACTGAGAGGGGTTGGCTTGTGCACCTGCTGCTGCTGCTGCTGCTGCTGCTGCTGCTGTTGCTGCTGCTGCTGCAGCTGCTGGAGGACTTGTGTGCGTATTGCTGCTCTTGTGGGCCCATCACCAACAAACACCAGCATCCTCAGGGGCCTCTCAGCACTGCTGCTGCTGCCTGCTGCTGCTGCTGCTGCAGTTGCTGCTGCTGCTGCTGCTGTTGCTGCTGTTCCTGCTTTATCTGTCCCT